ACGGGAAAAACTGTCTCTGATTGTTGAGAAACTCAAGTACAAAGTGTCTCTCTAACTAATAATAAAAAGAAGGAAAATATCCATAAAAATACCTCAACTAAATTCCATTTTAATATTCAAATTTTTTGCTATCCAGTTTAATATCCCAACTAATTATTTTACTCATTTTAGTACATAAACTTTTATAATTGTACTCATTTAAATACCAAAACTTTGTTTATTTTAATTTAAAATTTTAATAAGTTTCAAACGAAAATTTAAAAATATCTAAGCTTTACAGAAAATTTTAGTTTTATTTTATGTTTGAGAAATAAAAGAAAATAAATTTTCTATAATCTTAAAATTTTTAATAAATTTTTAAGTTTTAAATACTGAATTTAGTTTGTTTTCTAAAATAAATTAATTACTTTTCCTTCAAAATTAATTTTTAAAACTTTTAAATCTTCTCCATAGTTTATTTAACTTCTTTCTTAAATCTTTAAGTTAAATTAGAAATTATAAATAACTTAAATTTTAAAGATTTTTTAAATTTCCTCTGCAATATATTAATATTGTTAATTAAAATAAATAAAGTTTGGGTATTATAATGAACATAATGATAAGAGTTTGTGTATTAAAATGAGAAAAATAATTAGTTGGGACATTAGACTGGGTAGTAAAAAAATTTGAATATTAAAAAGCTTAATGAAATTTAGTTGAGGTATTTTCATGGAACATTCCCAAAAGATAAATACCATTGGAGTGTCGTATTATTTATCTTTTGTGAATACAATCATGTTTACAAAAACGATGCTAATAAATCGAAGTCAAATGATAATCTAGCCTATTCACGTTTTCATCAGAGATGTATACATTAATTAGTACATACCTTAAATAACGTACTCATTATAGAAAAAAAAAGTAGTGTTGCAATGCATTGTTATGTTCGTCATGATTACGGCTTAACTATGGAAGAAACCACGTGAAACTGAACAAGAGGATGGCTAGATTACAAAGTTTGCTCTTTTTACGCTTTTAATGCTGTTTCATTTTCGGATTATACTTTGTGGCCAAGGGACCCTCCAAATTTAGAAAATAAAAGAAGAATTTTGGTGTTTTATGTAAAACCTTTGTCTCGATTAGGGAAAAAATTGATGGCAAAAAGCTTTGAAACTCTCTTTTCTTTTGACGGTGGATTGTGCCGTGTTAATAAGGCAAACATGAGAGAGCTCCGTCAATCACGGTGACAGTTTTTTCCCTTCAATGCCGTATAAAGATAAGGCCTCAAAGTACGTATATAATTAGGCTGAAGCATTGAAAGCCAAAATAATAGGGAAGAATTTCAATTATACCACTTTGGTGGTACCACTTTTCATGTTTACCATCAAGAAAGGAACATTTTCAAAAATACACATTTTACTAAAGGATAAAAAACTCTTATATCCTTATTCTTTATATATATAAAATAAATATTAACCCTAAACCCTAAAACATCAATTCTAAACTCTAACCCTAAAAAGTAAACACTAAACCCTAAAAATCAACCCTAAACCCTAAAATATCAATTCTAAACCTTAAACCCTAAACCCTAAAAACTCAACACTAAACCCTAAACTATCAATCCTAAACCCAAAACCCTAAATTCTAATAGTATTTTGACTATTAAAATTTTAATGGTAAAGTTAGTTAGTGTAAAATTGAAAAGTGGTATCTTGAAAGTGTTATTTCTGGCAATTTCCCAAATAAGGAATAGTAAGCTCAAGCATATATCAGACAGATATGGCGTGGTCCTCGGATCTTCAGGGTGTTACATGTGATATATAATTGACCCACCATATTTCCGTATAGTCTACTGATACATCTTCCAAGATTAAATTGGATTTTGTACTTAAAACATATGGATCCGTATGTAAACAAAAAGGAAAAAAGAAAGAAAAAGGCATAAATATGTATTTGTATATGTGTATTTTATTCAGCTTTTGTATGGATGAATATGCTAATAATGTGTATCACAAGTTTGACGTAGTTACAACTATCTTTATGAGGTAAGGCCAGCAAGTGAAATTCCAAATCTCGACACCAAATTGATCTGACTTTCATGCGTTACGACTCTTAAATGTCCCTCGCTACATTCTCAGTTTCTCACTACATCAGGATTTAACAAAGTTTTGAAAAAGGTTGGGTTTATACATTTTCATTTCTCACTGCACCAGGAAATTGAGATTCTTTCATGCTGAGTTGGAGAGTTTTTTTTGACTAAATGTTGAGCTGGAGAGTTTCAAACTTTTTTGCCAATTTCTATATTCTCAGTACTTTGAAATGAGTAGCCGAAAAAAAAAAGAAACCGGATCGCTCTTTTGGAATCTTTTGTTGCTTGTGAGCTGTGAAAGCTGGACTGGCAAATCTCTGAGCACACACATAACGCATCTAATATTGATTTAGCAAAATAATAATTGAAAGATAAGTGATCGCGAGTCTCATGTGGACAAGAACAGAGAACGCATATCACCGATATACTGAATCCCAAATAGCCATATTAAATGCAATTGAGGTTTAGGAATTCATCGTCTTTAAAAGAAAATTTGGGATTGGCATACTTGAACCAACACCAATATAATGTTAACTTTAAAAAATCTACTAATTAAAAACTTAAAATATTTCCCGAGTTTAAACTAATTAGAACAAATCTTCTAAAAAGACCCAAAAAAGTTTATAACTTAAGTTTATACCATAGAAGAAGAAGTGACTATGATATAATTTATATATTTAATATAAATAAATATTTAAAATTTATTAACTTAAGTTTTCTATCCTAAATTTAAATTATAAATCCTAAACTTTAATTTTCAAACCATAAACAACATCCCTTCCTCTAAACTCTAGACCCTAAGTTTAAATTAATTAACTATAGAAATACATAATATATATATATATATATCTTACTTTTCAATAAAACTTATTTTAATTATTTCTTTCTTTAGGAGCTATTTTGTGATAATTATTAAAAAAGTTATTAGAAGATATTTCTCAAATAATTTCGTGTACATACATCAAAATAAATAAGTTTTTATCAAAATAATTGAAGTATCTGATGACTTGACGTTGTTTCGATCCTGATAACCGGCAATAAATTTGTGCTCATTTCCCCCTCCCAAATGTCTAGTTGTCTTGGCAATCTTCTAAAAGTAGCTGGCGAATAATGTTTGTTCTACGTATTTCTGGGGATGACTATATACGAGTTACTCATTTTATCTGCATTTAAAAATGGGGGAAAATTGCATAAAAAATCATGAAGTTTGCAAAAGTTTGTACTTTAAACCATGAAACTTGTAATAATAACATATTAAACATCGAACTAACTTACTTGTTGCACACGTCAAAATTGTGACTGGTTACTGTTCACTATCGGATAAAAAATGGTGATGTGGCGGTTTATTATTATTTTTTAAAATAAAAAAAGAAAATAGATAAAAAAATAAATAAAATTAAAAAAATTGATATAAATTCAGGAAAAATAAAGAAAATAAATAAATTAACCAATTAAAAAATAAAAATAAGTTTATAAATTCAAAAGTTTAAAATAAAAATAAATAGTAAAAATTGATTAAAACTAACAAAAGAGTAAAAATAATAAAAAAAATAGAAATTAAAAAAAGTGTAAAAATCGATAAAAATTAGAAATGAGGAAATTTATAAAAATTTGGAAAAAAATAAAACTTCAAAAGTAAAATAAAAATAAAACTAAAAAAAAATCAAAAAGATCGATAAAAATTAGGAAAACTTAATAAAATCAGGGAAAATAAAAATTCAAAATTCAAAAAAATAAAATACTTAAATTGAAAACTAATAAAGATCAAGAACAAATAAATTTACTAATTCAAGAAAATAATAATAATAACAAAAATAAATTATTCAAATTGATTAAAAATTAAGAAAAAAATCTGGAAAAAAGAAAACCATGAAAGTGGAAAAATTGGCAAAAACCCATTAATTGGCAAAAGTTTTGAATCCAAATCTCTAGGATTTGAAGGTTCTGAACCCGGACATATGAACGCTTATATGTCTACTAAACACTAAAGAGGTTTGGTTCAAGTACTTTTCATATTCAATTTTAATATTTTGTTATTTGAATTTTTATTTTTTCCATCTTTTTATAAATTCCTATTTTCTATTTTTTATCGATTTTACACTTTTTTAATTTTTTTTCTTTTTATTATTTTTACTATTTTGTTAGTTTTAATCAATTTTTACTATTTATTTTTATTTTTATTATAAACTTTTAAATTTATAAATTTATTTTTATGTTTTAAATATTTTTAATTTTCTTTATTTTTTCCTGAATTTATATCAAATTTTAGAATTTATATTGATTTTTTATCTAATTTTATTTATTTTATTTATTTTTTAGCTAAACCGCCACGTCACCTTTTTGTACCTGCTAGTGAACAGTAATATGTCACAATTTTGACGTGTGCAACAAGTAAGTTAGTTCGATGTTTAATATGTTATTGTTACAAGTTTCATTGTTTAAAGTGTTAGAAGTTGAACTTCAAGGTTTAAAGTGCAAGATTTTGCCAACTTCATAATTTTTTATGCAATTTTCCCTTTAAAAATGTGCAGCCATTAATAATTGTAGTTTACTTGCTTTCGATTAGATCATTCTAGAACAAAATAGGCGACGAATTTTCTAATCACCATGACGTTTTACTCCAAAAAAGTTTACCAGTTATGGCCAGCCATCGATATGTAGACTTATTTTATATTGTTTGTGTTACAAGTAAATCACACGTAGTTAGGAAGTTTATATTCTTTTAAAAACAACTAGAAAAGGTTTTTTTAGCCTCCGACGAATATCCGCCATATGAAATAAATGTTCAAAGTTTCAAAATAATTTTATTTTACAAAGTCAACTAAACAAAGCGAGACACTGTCCTTATGCTATAAAACCCCCTCTCAAACTCGGTCCATCTATTCACTCATCTCTTCCCTTTTCCAAATACCCTAAACTTTCTAATTTCATCATGGCGAGCTCACGACTAGCAAGATTCATAACGGAGGTTGCGCCACCGCAGTTTGTCACGGTGATGCGGCGAAGAACGGCCAAAGTACTCGACACGATCAAGGAGGAAGAGAGAGAAGTTGGGACCGATCACTCCATATTTTCTTCTTCTTTGACTTCCAAGATCACACCGTTTACCTCTCCTAATCCTTCTTCCTCCTCTGGTTTGGCTTCTGCTTCATTCTGTAAGGGCCCGACCAGTTTTCCGGTGACGGAGAATCGGAGCTCTTTTCCGGTTTTCAAGAACTGAATAAAAGTCATCGTATCATGTTATTATGTATATGTGTGTATGCTTCCGCTGTTGTCACTTGTCAGACGAGTAGTGTGTGTGTGTGTGTGTGTGTGTGTAGAATTTGATTTCCCGTTAAGCTCCGGCGATTCGGATGATCGGAGTTTTTTCCCCTAACGGGTTGATCAGACCCGGATCAGCATTGTGAAGCCCGAAGCGGGTTGACCCGATTCATTGTAATTGTATAATCAACATGTGGAAGGGACATTGTTCAACCTCGTTGTCATTGTACTGTTAAATGAAAATGATCCAAATTAATAATTTAGTCACATTATATTGTTCTTTTAGTTTACTTGATGTTTTTTTCTATATATAAGTATCAAGACTATCCCAAAATCAAGGTCTTTATGGTGTTTATGCAAGAGCCTCATCAGATGACTTTTTCATAGACAAAAAAACTTTAACAATCTACTAGATTTCGCACAACCGTGCGAATATAAATTTTATATTTATATATAAATATTTATTTTTTGGTTAAAATATACATTTTTAACATTACTCACATATTTAAAATACAATAATCTTATAGTTTTTATGCTGTAAATTTAAATCATCACATATATATGTTTCTTCTTATTATATGTATATTTTTATTGAATTTACGTTTAATTATTAAACCAATTTCTTATGTATGAAACAACATATTTGAAAATTATTTTGTTTATAATTTTTTATGATCCTAACTCGTATTCAAAATGCTAGATTAGCAATTTTTTATATTTATTCATTTTATATCATAAATTACTGTATATGAAAGTTTAGATAACTTGACTTTTATATATGAATTATATAGTTTACAAATGTTAACCTTTTCTATGAACATATTATATTTTTAGAATAAATATTTTATATTTATTAACATAAATATATTAACTTATCAGTTTTAAAAAACTTTATCATATTTAGTTCAATATAATGGTTTTCTTTTAAAATGATAGATATTATTAGAAAATAGATAAATTAGGATATAATTTTATTCTTTTCATTTTATAAGATATAGCTATATATATATTAATGTATAATATATAAAATTTCATGACTAATTATAAAATTAGTGAAAATATTTATGGTCAATTTTGTACAATTAAGATCTTGTTATAATCTTATTCAACAGATTTGCTAGAATATATATATATATATATATATATATATAATATATTTTTTTTTTAAATTAAAAATATCAAAAAATATTATGATTAAAGTAGTTAAAAATATTTTATATTATTAGCATTAATGATATACATTTAATAAAAAATTAAATAATAGTATAAATAAAAATATCACACATAAAAGAAAGGGATTTTTGCAAATTTACCTCAAAACTCAAAGTCAAACACAAAACTAATCTTTTTTTTTTTTTTTACTTTTTTTGTCCTACTCACCCCACATGTTCACATTATTTACAAAAACTTCATTAATTTTTTTTTCGAAAATTGTTTTTTTACTCTCTCGACCTCATCATCTTCAAGTATTTACAAGATTGTCATTACCATCAATATTCTAATTGCCATGAACAACCAATTTGAAGCTCTTAATGCACCTAAAATCGATTTACACTCTCTCTTTCTCAATTGTTATGAAATAAAAACAACATCTCTTTCACTTTGTCTCCATATTCATCCAAAAAACTCAAGCTTTTGATTCAAAAAATTTAATGGTTGATAGATCCATTAAAGGTTACTATTCTTCGTGCGTTACTTTCGTTGAGGTTCTGGGTGGGTAGGAGAAGACTCTGTGTGCTAAGGAACTCATCTCACTAGTTTAAGGTATGAAATTGAAATTTTTAACAGATCTGTTCGCGTAAAAGACTTACCCGTAAGTCGTCTGGCTGTAGAAGACTTACAGGTAAGTCTTATGTTCAAACAGACGACATAATTCTAACTCGTCTAGATTTGTTTGTTAAAAAAATCTAGAGAATATTGTAGACGACTTACCAATAAGTCTTCTATGATAAACATGTTAGTTTTGCATTTGACCGACTTGTGTCAGATATTTGACTTTTTCTGGACGACTTACCATTAAGCCGTCTGATACGCCCTAAATCGGGGAAGGATCATCGGACTGAAGGGATATGAACTCGCCAAAAGGGAGAACTGGTGGATGGAACAGTGAAACAAAGGGTTGCGGATTGCCTAATGATACTACCAGACTTCGATCGTTGCCGGATGTGACGCACCGGTCCAACAAAAGAAGAATCAAAACTTGGAGATAACCTCACCAAGAAACTAAGAAATGTTCTACAAAGAACAAAGAGAGATAAAGTCATAAAAAGGGGAAAACAAATCTGATTATTTCGTGGCTTTTTAGGCCTTATTTATAGGATTACAAGTTGTAGAAATCCAAAGAAGAATGTGCTAAAAACAAGACATTGGAAATAAGAACAAAAACTTGACTAAATAAAGTCTTTGACTAAAACTTGGACTGCCTCTTCATATAACCATGATCAGGACTTATTTGTTGACTCCCTCTTTCTATTCTTGATGATAATGGGCTTGAAATGGACTGAGGAAAGGGCTGGTCGAATTTGGAGTAAAACAAACCCATAATGAAACATTTATGAACTTTTCTTTGGGCTGAAAAGTCTCATTTCGCCCAGCAGCTGAACCAGCTCCATCTTCAGTGTCACTTAACCCATTCAGCTCCAAAATAGTGTCACTTAGTTCACTCAGTTCATCCAGCTCTAAAGTAGTGTCGGTCCAGCTCACTTGAATATGCACATGTCTCAATTCGAGAGAACTAAATATCATCTGATTTGTAAATGACATAACTCCCACATCTGAACTTCATTTGATCTGATTCTTCTTCGAGGAGCTCCATAATTGAGTTGAGCACATTCTACAAGTTATATCATGCGTAGAAGACTCGTGGTTTGGAAGATATGAGTCAAACAATGAACATATATCTTTACTACTTCCCATGATTGAGCCATGTATGTTTGTTTTGTCTAGTGCTCTACCCAAGGGCGCATCATTCCCTCCCTCTTGAAAATGATTTGACCTCAAATCCATTTTACTTGTATCAAAAGGAAATGATTCATACAAAAAGAATTTAAAGATCATGTAAAATTTAGTGGAGGAAAAATTTGGAAAGAAACTTCCTTGGAGTTTTGCAATTATTTTCCTCAAGTATATGCATCTCCAAATCTTCGGTTGATGAGCATAGTCAATGCTTTTATTTCTTTGAGACTGAACCTGTTTTTCCTGGACACTTAAAACTGAAACTAAAATACCAGGATCAAATGTGCAAGATAAATACTTTTTCAAATCAAAACACAAAATTTCCTTCTCAAAAACAAGTAGCACAAGTTTCAGCCTTTCAAGATGCACATCAAAGTAGACATTACAGACCAAAATCTTATCAATATATGCAACAATATTATTCATTTTCAAGACGTGCATGTCCTTCTCAACATCTGAACAAAAAAAAGTAAGTTCAGATTGAGAAACAACTATCAAAGACTCAAGATGTTTTTCAAAGAAAGTGTTGCAAACCAAAATATCATCAAGGCTCAAAACAACAAAATTATCACAAAGTGATCTCAGAAGATGCCAAGTTTTATCAGTTTCAGAACACACAAGATCAAGCTGCAAAATAAAATCACAAAATTCATTTTCAGTTTCAAGTGATTTTGGTTCCAGCAACTTCTTAATCAAAATTCCGTCAAGAGAAGGTGCAAACAAATCACCAGTGATCAGTGCATGTCTAGAAGAATTCAGATCAAAGCCAATGCCTTTGAAAACAAATGAAACAAACGGTTCTCTAGTATATAAATCAAGCGGCTGCAAATCAAGTTCAATAGATTCTTCAAAAAGATCAAAACATTTGCTGTGTGTCAAAATACTTCCAGAAGTGATGCCATTGACATTTTGAAAACATTTTTGATCAAGAAGTTCTTCAGGTTTAAACACTTTAAAAGAATTAATCATGTTTTCAAAAACAGATTTTGAAACACAAAAATCTTTCAACTTGTCAAGGCCAAAACGAACAACATCATGAGAACTGAATTTGACAAACATATTAGGCAAAGAATTAAGCAAATCAGATTCCTCACAGTGCTCTTGAAGATCAGGAGACAAAGGTGCAGGAGTTGTGCCGGGATCAAAGCAAAGATGTCTCTCCATAACGATGGATGTGAGGCTTGTTGCTTCTTCATCAAAGATGGGGCCTAGACCATCATCCAAGGGTATCTTGGTATCAAGACGTGGTCCTTGTTGTGGGTAGTTGAGTTGCTCTTCCTCACAATCCTGTGAAACTAGACCAAGACTACTCGGATGCTCCGGTTCAAAACATGTTAGTCCATTAGTCTCTTCATTACCACACATAAAATCAGATTTTGGAGAAGGAAGATTACATTCATCCTCACAAATGATCAATCTTTCCATCAGCTCTTCATCATACTCATCAAAAATGGGTAAAAAATCTGAAAATCGTTTAGATTTTCAAGGTTGTTTTCAGATTTACCTTTAGGTTTTTCATTGATGAATAATGATGGTTCAGCTATAGGTTCACGTGTGGATGTGCTCTTCTTATGGATCTTGCTGATGTCCTTGAGGGCTTTCATCATTCCCTTCTCAAAGTGGTCACATATTTCTTAGACATCAAACTGAAGTAATCGCCTTTTTGGATTAGTCACATCTCTTGTTGTTTTTATTTTCTCTTTGCACCTTTGGTTTGGCTTTTTCTGCACACTAACAAACTCATCAAAATTATTCAAAGAACAGTTAAATGAAGACTGAGAGACAGTTTGTTGTGGGGATTTCTCCTTGATACTTCTCGGTGAAGACCAAACATCTTATTCCTGAAATAATAATTCAACACAAAAGGTTAGATAAAACCTCACACTCTCAAGTGTTTAATCTCACCCACTCAAGTGTTTCTCTCAGATTTATGGTTATCACACAAAGAGTCTCCTCTCAAAGTTCTAAGAGAACAAATCAAGTAACCCAATAGATTTCTCCAAG